TTTGAATTTTTTTTACTAATATTTGTTTTCTAGACCTATTCAGGTTTATTTTGTGTTGCCATCAATCCATATAAACGTTTACCAATTTATACTATGAAAGTAGTACTTATGTACCGTGGTAAAAAACGTACTGAAGTTCCTCCACATTTATATGCTATTGCTGATAATGCATATTCAAATATGCTTCGTGGTAAGTAGATATATATATATATATAGAAAAAAGGAAAGAGTCATATTATCTACTATCTATCAACAACAATAGTATTTCAACACTAGGAGAAGATAAATATGATACGTTAACACCTACGAATCTATATTCATCAATAAAGATAAGATACTGTATACTGTTGAAATGAATTTATCTGTCAACGATTGATTAGTTTCAAGAAATCAAAATCAATTTATTTAGATCGTGACAATCAATCAATGTTAATCACAGGTGAATCAGGTGCTGGTAAAACAGAAAATACCAAAAAAGTTATTCAATACTTTGCATTGGTTGCTGCTGCTAGTGCTAAAAAGGAAGAGGGCAAAGTAATATCTTTAAAATATATCTATAATAAATATAATTATGTTTTTTTTCTTCTCATTATAGAAATCTATGACTCTCGAAGATCAAATTGTTCAATCAAATCCTGTACTCGAAGCTTTCGGTAATGCTAAAACAACTCGTAATAATAATTCATCACGTTTCGTAAGTTAAAATTAATTTCTATTTTTATTTAATTGATTATTTATTCTAGGGTAAATTTATTCGAATTCATTTTGGTCCAACTGGTAAAATTGCTGGTGCTGATATTGAAGTTTATCTTCTTGAAAAAGCTCGTGTCATTTTTCAAGTATGTTAAATAAAATTTTGATAAATTAAATATTCATTTTATTTGTATTTTAGCAACCAGGTACTTTCCCTAAAAATTCAAATTTAAATTAATAATTTATTTTAGCTGAACGTAATTATCACATTTTCTATCAATTGTGCTCAAATGCTTTTCCGGAATATCATAGTAATATATTATGAAAACAAAAACTATAATATTATTGTTTTTTTCTTTCCTTTCAGAGGAATGTCTTATTGGAAATGATCCAGGAAAATATCATTATGTAGCTCAAGGCATGCTTACAATTGATAATGTTGATGATGCTGAAGAAATGAAACTTACTGATGAAGCTTTTGATGTTCTTGGCTTCACTCCGGTTTGTTATAAAAAAATTTAATTAAGAATAATATTTTTTTGTTAAAAGGTTGAAAAACTTAGTATGTATAAATGTACTGCTGCTATTATGCATTTTGGTAATTCTCAATGGAAACAACGACCACGTGAAGAACAAGCCGAAGCTGAAGGTACAGAAGATTGCGAGAAGGTTGCACATCTTCTCGGTATTGAAGCAGCTGAACTTATCAAAGGTTTACTTAAACCACGTATCAAGGTCGGTAATGAATATGTTAACAAAGGTCAAAGTAAAGATCAAGTTACTAACTCAATTGGTGCTCTTTCAAAATCGGTAAGATTTGATTAAATATTATTTCAAATAATTCAATTTTTTTCTTCTTAGATTTATTATCGTATGTTTTGTTGGTTAGTCGAGCGTGTCAATGTAACACTCGATGTTAAAGCTAAACGACAATACTTTATTGGTGTACTTGATATTGCTGGTTTCGAAATTTTTGATGTAAATATATATTCATTTATCTATATTATATTTATATCTTGAATATTTTAGTATAATGGTTTCGAACAATTATGTATCAATTATACCAATGAACGTCTTCAACAATTCTTCAATCATCATATGTTCGTTTTAGAACAAGAAGAATATAAAAAAGAAGGTATTCAATGGGAATTTATTGATTTTGGTATGGATTTACAAGCTTGTATTGATCTTATTGAGAAGGTAAGAAATACATTATTTATTTTTAAATTATTTCAATATATATATGTATAGCCAATGGGTATTTTATCCATTCTTGAAGAAGAATGTATTGTACCAAAAGCAACTGATAAAACATTTGTTGAAAAACTTTATAATAATCATTTGGGTAAACATCCACAATTTGGTAAACCAAAACCAGCGAAAAACAAAGCAGATGCAAATTTTGAAGTTCATCATTATGCTGGTTCAGTTCCTTATACAGCAACAGGTTGGCTTGAAAAGAACAAAGATCCTATCAACACGACTGTGTATGTTAATCAAGAAAAATAAAAATTTTTTTATTGATAATATTTTGTTTCTAGTGCTACACTTTTTGCTAAATCGAAAAATGCTATGTTAGCTCATCTCTATGCTGATATTATTGAAGAAGAAGGTGCTAAATCTGGAGGTAAAAAGAAAGGTGGTAGTATGCAAACTATTTCTGCTACACATCGTGTAAGTTTATATTTAAAAAAAAAGAATAAAATTATTTATTTATTATTTTTTCTTCTGTAGGAACAATTGAACAAATTAATGAATAATTTAAAACAAACTCATCCACATTTTGTTCGTTGTATTATTCCAAATGAAGTTAAAACTGGAGGAATACTTGATTCACATTTGGTTCTTCATCAACTTCATTGTAATGGTGTACTTGAAGGCATTCGTATTTGTCGTAAAGGCTTTCCAAATCGTATGATTTATTCAGAATTTAAACAACGTTATTCAATCTTAGCACCAAATTCTATACCCAAAGGATTTGTTGATGCTAAAAAAGCAACAGAAAATATCCTTAAAGATTGTCAATTATCTGAAGAATTATATCGATTAGGTACAACGAAAGTATTCTTCAAAGCAGGTGTTTTAGGTCAACTTGAAGAAATGCGTGATGGAGCATTATCAAAAATTATTGCGACATTACAAGCACAAATTCGTGGTTATGTTATGCGTAAATCCTATAAGAAAATGTTAGATCAACGTATAGCATTATCAGTTTTACAACGTAATTGTCGTAAATATTTATCATTACGTAATTGGCCATGGTGGAAATTATATACAAAAGTTAAACCATTATTATCTGTTGCACGACAAGAAGATGAAATGAAAAAACTTGAAGAAGAATTTAAAGCACTTAAAGAAGCTTTAGAAAAAGAAGAAAAACTACGTAAAGAAACTGAAGAAAGTAATACAAAATTAATTCGAGGTAAACGAGAGAAAAAAATCAAATTAATATTTTATTTAATATTTTATTTTTTTTTAAGAAAAAAATGATATCTATTCACAATTGGAATCTGAACGTGCAAATGCATCTGGTGCTGAAGAACGTCTTACACGTTTAGTAACACAAAAAGCTGATCTTGAACAACAAATAAAAGATTATGAAGAACGTATGAATGAAGAAGAAGAAGTAACAAGTGAATTAAATAATAAAAAGAAAAAACTTGAACATGATATCGATGGTTTAAAGAAAGATATTGATGATATGCGTTTAAATTTACAAAAAGCTGAAAATGAATGTAAAACACGTGATAATCAAATACATACATTACAAAGTGAAATGGCACAACAAGATGAAACCATAGCTAAAATAACACGTGAACGTAAACGTCTTGAAGAACAAAATTCAAAAACAACTGAACAATTACAAGCTGAAGAAGATAAAGTGAATCATTTAAATAAATTAAAAACCAAACTTGAACAAACATTAGATGAATTAGAAGGTAGTTTAGAACGTGAAAAGAAAGCTCGTACGGATTTAGATAAATCAAAACGTAAATTAGAAACTGATCTTAAATCAGTACAAGGTAATCTTGATGATTTTGAACGATCAAAACGTGAATTAGAAGAAAATCTTAAACGTAAAGATCAAGAAATTCAACAAATGAGTGGACGTCTTGAAGATGAACAAGGACAAGCATCTGGTCTTGGTAAAAAAATCAAAGAATTACAAGCACGTATTGAAGAACTTGAAGAAGAAGTTGAAAATGAACGACAAGCACGAACAAAAACAGAAAAACAACGTGCTGATTTAACACGTGAAATGGATGAAATGAATGATCGATTAGAAGAAGCTGGTGGTGCAACATCAACACAAGTTGAAATGAATAAGAAACGTGAAGGTGAATTAGCTAAACTTCGTCGTGATTTAGAAGAAGCTAATCTTCAACATGAAGCAACAGCTGCACAACTTCGTAAGAAACATCAAGATGCTGTTACTGAAATGGGTGAACAAATTGATCAATTACAAAAATTAAAAAATAAATTAGAAAAAGAAAAAGGAACAGTTAAATCTGAACTTGATGATTTACGTGCACAACTTGATCATGCACAAAAAGGTAAATCATCTGCTGAAAAACTTTCAAAACAACTTGAACAACAATTAAATGATATAACAATTAAACTTGATGATAGTCTTAAACAAGTTAATGATGTTTCTGGTCAACGATCAAGATTAGTTAACGAAAATTCAGAATTAGCTAAACAAATCGAAGATCTTGAACATCAACTTGGTTCATTACAAAAATCTAAAACAGCATTACAACAACAAGCTGATGAAGCTAAACGTGTTTTAGAAGAAGAAATACGTGGTAAAGGTTCAGTTAGTAAGTATTTGTCTTATTTATTTTCTAGTTATCATATATATATATATATATATTGTTTTTTCTTATAAGATACTCAAATACGTAATTTAACTTCTGATCTTGATCAAGCACGTGAACAACTTGAAGAAGAACAAGAAGGAAGAGCTGATCTTCAACGACAAGTTATAAAACTTAGCGCAGAAGTTCAACAATGGAGATCACGTTATGAATCAGAAGGTATGGCACGTGGTGAAGAACTTGAAGAAGCTAAACGTAAATTAGCTGCCAAATTAAATGAAGCTGAAGAACAAGTTGAAGCTGCATTAAATAAATGTAATGCATTAGAAAAAGTTAAAGCTCGTTTACAAGGTGAAGTTGAAGATCTTATGATCGATGTTGAACGTGCTAATGCTAGTAAGTTATAAAAATATCTATATGATCGAAATTCTATATTTTAAATTATTTATAGATGCTTCGGCAATGGATAAAAAACAAAAACAATTCGATAAATTAATTAATGAATGGAGACAAAAATGTGAAGATATTACTGTTGAACTTGAAATATCACAAAAAGAAGCACGTCATTATTCAACTGAATTATTTAAACTTAAAACACAATATGAAGAATCACATGAACAAATTGAAGCTCTTCGTAAAGAAAATAGAAATTTAGCTGATGAAGTTAAAGTAAAAATTTTTACATTTTATATATATACAAAGAGATATATATTTTTGTAATATTTATGTTATAGGATCTTATGGATCAATTAGGTGAAGGTGGAAAGAGTGTTCATGAATTAGATAAAGCTCGTAAACGTGCTGAAATGGAAAAAGAAGAATTACAATCAGCATTGGAAGAAGCTGAAACTGCTCTTGAACAAGAAGAAGCTAAAGTTCTTCGTGCACAAATGGAATTAAGTACAGTTCGTCAAGAAATTGATCGTCGTATTCATGAAAAAGAAGAAGAATTTGAAAATACACGTCGTAATCATGCTCGTGCACTTGAATCAATGCAAGCTAGTCTTGAAGCTGAATCACGAGCTAAAGGTGAAGCACTTAAACAGGTATAAAAAAATAAAAGCAAAAACTTCCTTCTTTATTTTAAATGTTTCATTTGGTTAATTTTTCTAGAAAAAGAAACTTGAATCGGATATCAATGAACTTGAAGTCGCACTTGATCATTCAAATCGTAGTAATTCAGATTTACAAAAAGCACTTAAACGATTACAAGAAACTGTTACACAATTAACAGTACAAATTGAAGAAGAACAACGACAACGTGATGAAGCACGTGAAGCTGCTCATGCTGCTGAACGTCGTGCTAATCATATTGTTGGTGAACTTGAAGAATTACGTACTAATTTAGATCAAGCTGAACGTGCTCGTCGTGCAGCTGAAACTGAATTGAATGAAGCTGCTGATCGTATTAGTGATTTAAGTACACAAAATGCTACTTTAGCATCACAAAAACGACAATTAGAATCAAATATTGTTGCTATGCAAGCTGATTTGGATGAAGCTGTTGCTGAACTTAAAAATAGTGAAGAACATTCAAAGAAAGCTGGTGCAGATTGTGCACGTCTTGCAGAAGAATTACGAAGTGAACAAGAACATACAATACAAGTTGAACGACTTCGTAAAGGTCTTGAACAACAAATTAAAGATCTTCAAGTACGTCTTGATGAATCTGAAAATAATCCACTTAAAGGTGGAAAACGTATTATTGCTAAACTTGAACAACGTGTACGTAATAGATATATATATATATGTTTAAAATATTTGTACATTATTTGATTCTATTTAGATTCATGAATTAGAAAGTGAAAATGAATTAGAACAACATCGTCATCAAGAAACATTGAAAGAATTACGTAAAAATGATCGACGATTAAAAGAATTAGCTTTTCAAACAGAAGAAGATCGTAAAAATCAACAACGTTTACAAGATCTTTCAGAAAAATTACAAGCCAAAATTAAAGTTTACAAACGACAAGTTGAAGAAGCTGGTTTGTATTTTACATAGGCAAAAATAAAATTATTTTCATCATTTTATTTTATTCTAGAGGAAATTGCTGCCCTCAATTTGGCTAAATTTCGTAAAGTTCAAACAGAACTCGGTATGAAATTTTCAAATAATTATATTTCATTTTTTCCGTTGTTTTTCTTACAGAGGATTCAGCTGAACGAGCTGATCAGGCTGAAAATCAATTAGGTAAAATACGTGCTAAGAGTCGTTCATCTGTTAGTGTTAGCCGACTTTCACCAGGCGTAAGTAGACATTCTATTTCAAAATATGAAATACATTTCTAATTTTTTAGCGTGAAATTCGTGAATCGACAACTATTCGTTCATCAATGATGCGTAGTGGTTCAGTTCGTGCTGGTTCACTTCGTCCCCTTTAAATAAGTGCAATCTTATCACGAGATTACGCATGTGGTGCTTTTATTTAACTGTTTTGTCTTTATTTTTTATTTAAGTCAAGCTGTTTATATGTTAATCCTTATCATTTCTTTTTAAATCAATGATTAATCTATAGATTGTCAAATGTATGTCTTTAATACCGAATAAAATAATAAAACATTATATACTAGATAAGAAATAATCAACTTCTAATGAAATAATAATCTAGAATATAGGAAGTTATAAAGATCATTATGATTTTAATAGTCGGAATGAGTAGTATGAATTATATATAATCATACATATTGTGACAAAAGAAAACATCGGTTTATCTTTTTCTATTTATGGAAGAGTATTACTGGAATTAATAGTAATTTCAGTTATATATAGTACTCATAGGACAAAGGTGGGTAAGTACGGACTTTTTCGAATACGAGATTTCTCAACGGTATTTTACATTCTGAATAAGTCTACTCTAGTTCAATAACACAATTAATACATGAACATTTACAATTCACTATATTTCTTAGAGTAGGAAAGATTAGTATTAGCTATCTTAGTAAAAGAAGATTATAATTTATAATCATTCTCATTGATCAATATTGTATTAACTCAAACCTTTCATTATACATATATACAGTTAGAAAATTAGTTTTAAATAAAAACAAGTCTCTATGATCATGTAGTTTATTAAAATAGTAGATGAAATCTATTTTAATTTCTGAAATTAGAGAAAAAAAATCCTTGATAATATTTAATCTGGTATATCATAATTAAAAAAGAATTTTCTTAATTCATCTCAAGAAGAATGATCTTGTATTACATTTCTTTTCAATTTCATAATACCATCTTAATTAATTAAAGATATGAATACACACAATGTTCTATAATTCAATATAAAAATTTGTCTCTAACTGTGATAACTATCAACCTTTGACAATGTTTATTATTTATTTACTTTTATTTTACGAGCAGAGAAACTGTCAGACGAATGTTGACAGTAAACATTTATATATTTATTAACAAGCACTACATAGGCATCTAAATGGTATACATACTATACCCAATAAAAACTAATAAAATGTATATGTTCTTATATAAACTCATAACTTTCGAATTAGTCATTATAAAGAATTATGATATACTGGTTATTTTAGATAAAAAATTTTTTTTCGACGACATCAAGTTGACTGTTGTTATCAAGGAACAAACATATCATATATATGATTTCCTTAGAGCCTTCAACGCAAACGGTAACAAACATAAAAAAAGATATAGTTTTTATATAAGAAAGTAATAAATCTTTTACTTACATCTTAAAAGATGTCACATTATCCTTGTACTATAAATGAATGTCCACGTTTATCGAGAGTATTATGTTATTGTTGTACAAAAAATTATTGTATTGAACATTTAAAAGATCATAATGATATCTATTTATCTCAATTATATCAAATAACAAATGAAATAAATAATTTATCGGAACATGTTCGTGGACAATATCGTCGTCAACTTGATCAATGGCGTCATGAATCACATCAAACAATTGATTTATATTATGAAAAAAAATGTCAAGAATTAGATAATAAAACAATTCAACATGAAAAATTAAATCAAAATCGTCAAGTTATCGAATGGATAAAATCAAAAATTGCTCAACTTATTCGTGAACAAAATACAACACAACAACAAATTGATTCATTAAAAGCTGCAACAAATGCTGTACAACGTGAATTACAACAAACATCCGAAGAAAATTTTCATTTAAATATTCCACCATTAATCCTCGATGAAAACTTCATACAATTAGATAAAACACGATTAACATTTGATTTATATTCAACAGTAAAATCAAATTTTTTAACAAAAGATTTATCAACTGAGAATTGTATTGTTATGACAAATAATTCAACATATTTATTAATTGGTCAACAATTACATTTATGTTTATATGATCAAAATTTAAATTTAATTAAACAAATACCATGGACATATGGTTCTATATGGGATATGTGTATGTCAAATATACTTTCGAAATTTATTATTGTTGCTGAACATGGAATATTTACATTTGATGAACAAACAATGATGATTGAACCGTTAAAATCTTTATCAAAACAAAAGAAATCTTGGTATTGTTGTGCATGTTCAGATAAAAGTTTATTCTTAACAACACAACAATTAAATACAACCATAAGTGAATATGTATTTCTACAAAATAATTATTCATTTAAACGACAACAAATATGTTGTTTAAGTAATGAATATATTGAACATATGAAATGTTCAAAAGATTTATTAGTTTTAATTATTTCAAATGATTTAACTGGTGAACGACGTTTAGATATGCGTTCAATATTAACATTTAATCAACTTTGGACGATTTCACTTAATATACATGAGAAAATTAATGTTATATCATGTTGTTCATTGAATGATAAAGGTTGGTTAATTGTTGATCTTGCACAAGCTCGTCTTATTCATGTTACGAATCAAGGACAAATTAAACAAAGTATTGCATATGAACCATCACCTCAGTATGCTATTCAATTTAAAGATGATATTCTAGCTATTCTAACTGAACAAGGTATTAATTTACATAAAATCGAATAAGATGAATCTTCTTTTTTTCTTTGTATATACTTTATCAGTTACCTAGTGACCCTTGTAATAAAAGATATATACATTTATTTAATTTAATAAAACTAATGGTAAACATAGGATGCAACCTTTTTAAATTCATGTACTTTTATCATTTCATTGTTTTACTGACGCATATTTTTCCTCCTACTTATTATTAATAGTGAAAAGTTTTAACTATTTGATTTACATCACTTGTGGCGACATCGAGATTCAAAATTTATATGATTGGTACTTAAACTTAGTTTGATTAATTGATATATTGTTGTATTGCTTAGCAAGTTTTTCTATATAAACATGAACGTATTAAATCGTCTGATAACATCTTGGTAATATTTTTAATTATTTAAAATTTATTTTATACGTACTAATTTTTTCAGTCCTCGATTTTATCAATTAAATCGACGATATGCTCATTATTTATCTCAAGCAAATCCAATTCAACAACCAAAAGATATTGTTAGTTGTATTCTAAAAAATATAATTCATCATGATGAACAAATTATTGTATTTAATAAACCACCGGGTGTAATGGTTCTTGGTATAATTCTAATTTATGTTTATATTTCAATTTTTTTAAAAATATTTATAAATAGATGAAACATGGGATCGAAAAAATGAAGTAACATCTGAAGAACAAGGAGAAGAAAATGATTATGAAAGAAATTCTAGTGCAATTAATTCTAATCCATGTACTATTCAATATCATATGCCACAATTTCGATCAGCACTTAAATGGTCTCATTTTTTTCCTTGTCTACGAACACCAAAGTAATGAAAATTTGATTTTTTTTCTTTATATCTTAGAAAATGAATTTTTATTATCTTTAGTGAACCAAGTGGTTTACTTATCTATACACAAAATTCTAAATTACATGATGATATAAAAAGTACAGCCATGCGTTCATTTCGAAAATTAAAAGAACCTTATTTAACATTTTAGTAAGTAATAAAGATAAGATTATTCTTAATCTTTATATTATCTTATTAATTAGATTTAATTTTAGTGGTATAACAACATCTATTCCACGTAAACTTGAAGATTCACATCATATTATGATTGAAAGACATTTACATAATGGACAATATTTAGTATGAGAATTTTGCTAAGAAAAAAATTTCAAATTTTTTCTCATTTATATTTTAGTCCTATGAAGTATTTGATACAACTTCTAATGCAATAAAACATGGTCGAGTTTATTCAGGTACTATTCAACATCGAACATTATCAACAAATGATGAATTAAAAGTGGCTTTAGTTGAATTTAAAACTACAACATGTAAACACTTCTAATATTATTTTCGAAATATAAAATTGATGTTTTATAGGTACATGGGATTTTGTTGAAATCTATTGTTTACGTCAATGTGCTCCATTATTGGGTGATCATAAATATTGGAATAGAGTTAAACAAGTTGCCGGTATTCCTATGTATATCAATCCAGTTAAACATAAAATTTATCCAGCAAAACAAGTATAATAAATCACGTGTATTCTTTCTAATCTAAGATTTGTATGTTTTGTAGCAATTAAGTAAACATGTTCGTGTTGCACTTGATCTTTATGGTCAACAATTGGTATGTCCGCTTCATTTACATTTAACAGATTTTAATTTATCAAAAAAATATCGTCAACAACGTGCAATTGTTCATTATCAAGCACAACCATTTCCTTATTTTTATGAAACATTACAAAGACTTAAATTAAAATTTCCGGATGATTTAGATATGAATACACCATTTGAAGAACAGATTGATGAAGAATTTGAAAATGCTATTCAACGATAGAAAGAACATATTTATACAGTTTGTTTCTGTTTTTCTTGTAGATGTTGTAATAAAAAATAATAAGAAACATTAGTTATGGGTCAAGGAATGAGCGAGGTAAAAATATTTTTACTAGAAAAAAATGTTTTTAAAAAAACAAAGAACTTTTTAGGTAGCATCTGGTGTCTATGTCACAAGTGCACTTGTGGCTCGACAAAGTAAAGTACTTGATGAATTTGGTATTACTCATGTTATATCAATACAAGCAAAACCTATTAATCCATTTGCAGTAAATGAAATAGATTGATATGGGATTTTTGTAGACTTCTATTTTTTAGCATCGTGAATATCTTTTAATTCCAGCGAAAGATCATGTATCACAAGATTTATTACAATTTGCTGGACAATGCAATGATTTTATTCATAGTGCACGTCTTAATCAAGGCAAAGTTTTAATTCATTGGTAGAAATAAAAATTTTCGAAAATAAATTCAAATATAATTATATGTTTAGTGTTGAAGGAAAAAGTCGTAGTCCATCAATTGCTTGTATGTATTTAATGACTATTACTGGTATATCATGGTCGGATATGATTAATAGTCTTCGTGGTGTACGAACACTTGTAGATCCTAATTTTGCATTTCAACGACAATTAAAATATTTCTATGAAAACGTGATGATACAAGTAAATAGTATTGATTTTGGTTTTTTCCTTATTAACAAAAATTTATTTAGGAACGTGAACGTTTATTTACTAAATTCGGTTCATTTACGATGATTGATGATGATACATCATTCGTTTTGAAAAATTTAGCTTTATATAATGAAGAACAACGTCGTCGATTAACAGGAAATGTTGTTGTTATTGATGAACGACATTTACCAACGAATAATATTTCTCCTTATATATCTGTGAATAATGACAAAACAAAAAATTTGAATGAAACAGATTCTGATCCTAATTCATTTTTCAACGATCCAGATCACTTACCACTCACACCCGTGTCTCAAAGTCTTCTTGATGATATGTTCTCATCTTAATTTGAATTTTTACCTGTGTTTTTATCCAATTTATAAAATTTTATTTTCGATAAAAATTATTTATACATTAATCTAATTTTTCTTATTATTTTAATTAAATTGAGAATAAAACTAGGGTGTGAGTAAAGAAAGGATGTACCCACACCTTGTTCTGACTTCAAATTTTTGATAATTCACTTATAAAAATAATCTAATGTTTTCACAGAAACTTTATTTTACATAAAACAAACAAAAACTGTTTTTTTGAATAAAAACGAAACAATCGGAAGTCTTATTTAGAAAGTATATAAAATAAAAGTTGATCATTCTCTGTCAGAATAGCACAAGTAGATCGTTGACAAAACGTTACTCGTTTTATTTCATTGATATCTTCAAAAATACGTTTAGAAATAATTTCACCATCATTTCCAAATGAACATAATTGATTTCCACTCGATAAAATAAATCCATGACGATTATCAAATATAATCTTCATTGGTTTCGATATACGATCAAGTGCTATCGAACATATTGTTACAAGTAAATCACTAAAATTTCGTAATTCAATACGATAATTTAAGATTTTCTTTTTATCACGTAATAATAAAGCTAATTGTTGATCAGATGTACATAAATGTTCAACATGATCATTCGTTATAATTAATTGATTTGAACAATGAATTATATTACGTTTAGTTTTATTTATTGTCCATTGATCAAGTCGATGTTTACTTGACATAAAAAGATATAAATAAGATAATTTGGAATCACATATTAATTGAGTATAATATGTTTGATTATTAACAGCAATTATTTTTAATAATGAATAGGTATGTTCATCAAAATTATATTCAAATGAATAAACACTACCATTTGTTGATAAAACAAAAAATAAATCATTGGCTAATGTTGATGAATAATAATCATAACATATATCAACAATGTCATTATGATCCCATGTAAATTGATCAATTAATGTGCCATTTATTGAAAAAACATATAATTGTTTGGTTTTATTTGAAAATAAAATAATTCGATTTTGTGAACTAACTAAAACACTGGGTAAAACCATTTTTTCTCGACGATTAAGAGAATTTGATGGTGAGACTGAAGACAATATTGCTGAAGATAATTTCGAAGCATCAAAACAAACATTTGGTGGATCTCGAATTAATGATAGATCAAAATTTATTGAATGTTCAAATAAATGAAATAGTTTTAATGATAAAGATGGAAATGATATGAAGTCTGTATTTATAAGATTTAATTCAACATGAGCATATTCATATTCTTTCATATATTTTTGAATTTGTCGATTATATAAATCGATTTGCATACGTACATTTGAATCATCTTTTACTTCAAGTGATAATTGTTCTATAATAAAATGAAATTCTTTTTTTTTGCTTATTTACACCTGAAATATTTACCAATATTTTCTGCTAATTCTTGTAATTCGATTTGCCTGTCTGTTGACCATTCTTCAATTTCAAATGATATTTGTTCAAATGAATTTTGTAATGATTGACGTGTAGATGATACTAAATCATTTAATTTTTTTGTCATTATCATTTCCCAATGATCGATTTGTTCCATAACAGATGTATATTGTTTTTTAGCACTTATTTGTGGATGATCGAATTGATTATTATCATTATTATCTGAGGTTGATAATGATAGTAATTTATTCATATCATTAGTCAATTGACAAATTTTCGTATCGAGTGGTTGTTGATGACTTGTTAAACATTTTAAACATAGATGATTATCACAATGCATACATTTAGCAACAGTTAATTGACTACAACCATTTTCTTCACATATTACAGTAGACATCGTATAGATAGAGTTTTGATATTTCTATTCTTTGATATATGTGCATCGATTAACATCTGATAGTTAACTATCATGATATATATTTGATAGAAGAAAGAAAAAAACATTCATTTGAATATTGTAAGTTACAAGATGAAGATCTAAAATGAATAGTATATATATATATAGTTTTTTTAACAATAGGAGATGCGTATATGTAGTTTAGAATTTATGAATTCATCTTTTTCGAAGTTGTAAATTGTAATTGATTGTTAAAAATAAATTTTCAGTTTACAATGAATTTCAAACAAAATACCGTTATTGTGTGACACCTAACGAAAACAAAATATAATACTGAATAATTCTTCTCTTACAAAGATGCCATTCTCAGTTTTTCACGTAAGTTTATTATATTTTCTAGATGTCAATAATGAAAACTGATGCTGATTATGAATATTCACCATCTCGTTGGTCTCGTCGATTTGAAACTGGTGACAAAGTCATTGAAGCTTTTGTTCAAGCAACGACAAAAGCAACAGAATCTGCACGAACTACTATACCTTGTTTA